TCAGGCACAGGAATAACATATCGAAAAATGAATTTCATTGAGTGCGAGGGAGTGTAAGAAAAAATAAGAAGGAAAAAGAAGAAAAGCCTCGGGGCTGGGGAAAGTGAGCAAAGTCAGCGAAATCTGTTTCAATAGCTTTTGTCGAGGGGCTTGTGTCTGGTCCTTTGGAATGGGTAGAGTTTTGCCTGTGCCAAAGTCATAAAATCGCGAGAGGAGCTACAAAACATAAACATAGCAGGCAGAGCAGCTATAATGATGTAAAATATATCGCCGAGATTTAGGCGACTTTCGAAGGAGTCAAGTTCTGTGCGAGTGCTGATAAAAGTTGGAGGGGAAAAAATATATATATATTAAGCCAAAATAAAATAAGAAAATGGAGGGAAACTGTTGAGAGCGCGTGGCGAGCACTTCAAAGTCACAAACAAATGCATAAAATATCAGCTCGATATTATTCAATTTGTTCTAATAGCCACGCTTAACTCACCAGCCAGCCATTGAGCATACATGGCGTATGAGTAAGATTTTGGGGCTCAAGGAAAAGATTTGGCCGCACTTAATGGGCAACAAGGAAGAAGTGTATTGATGATGTCGAGCAACTTCAACTTCAATGATGCGCAATTTTATGCACAAGTCTTTTACATAAATTTCGCTCCCTTTCGAAAAACGTTTATGTCTGCACGAAAGGATTTCCAAGGAGATTTTCCCCTTCCCAAGGCTTTTAAACCACTTTTTTTTAACGGAAAGGAAAGGGAAAGATACGAAGTGCGTAAAAACGTTAATAAGCCTTTGATATTCGCATCGTTTTTTTGGCTCTTTGATTCACATTTATGACATTTACTGATACAATTTAGCAGAAAGCCAAAGGCCTCGGCAAAATACTTTGCATTTATGCAGATCAAGGCGAATTTATTGAAATTGTTGAATACTCGCCGGGTTTATGAGTTATAAATCTGCTCAGATTTGGGCTATAAATCAGACTGAAGGATAATATTCAAGAAAATAAATCTTATTTTTTGGCAACACTAAAAAGATTTAATTAGGTTTTACTTTGGATATATAAAACTATAAAGAAAGTCAAAGAAAATGCCATACATAGAATTTTAGAGAACCAAAAAAATACCTCATAACACCTTTATAAACTTTCATTACCTTTCTTAAAGTTTACTTCTTAGAAAGTTTATAGTCACCTTTTGTAAAATTTCAATTCAATTCAATAAATTCAAGGCCATAACTTGAATTTGCTTCACCCTCAAAGTTGAGACATTTTTCGTAGGCCATAGTTAACCCAAAACCCGCAATTTGTTCAGTTTCGATTTCAGCAGTTCCAATTACCATTCGTGGGAAAACAGATAGAAGACGTTAGGAAGGGGTTATAAAAGGTCAGCGGGGGAATTTATTAAGTGATAAATTTTGGGGCATTGCGAAAAGTGTCAGAGAAGGTCAATCGCAAAAAGGGAAAGCGTTGGCGTTGGCTTTGGTTTGGGGAAGGAAAGGAAAGGTTGGAAACACCCGAAAACACACTCAATCAGGAATCCGTCCGTATGACAACGAAGTAGGAAAGGAGACTGCGGAGGATATGGAAGATGCCACCTCCTTCAAAAGTTGGCCAAAAACGAATCGAAATGAAAATGGCGCACAAAACAAAAGCCGCTCAGAACAAATTACCAGAGTCGTCTTTTCTATGGCTTTGCCTTTCCTTTCTTGCCTTCGAGGAGGTGGAAACCATTTGGCCTCGTCTTTGGTCCGTTCCCTTTGCAACTTTTCTGTTTCAACTGTTTGCCAATTGCACTTTTCAACTGGCCCCAATTTTTCGCTCGTTTTTTTTTTATTGCAAAGATGGCCAACGTCCAGTTTTAATGCCACCGTTAGTACTATATATGTTGGGTTGCTCCCTGGAGGCAAATGTGTGTACAGCTGCGTTTCAGGTTCACTCAAGTGAAGGGACTGAATTGGTTTTCTTTTTTTTTTTTTGCTGTGTAAAAATGGTCAAGTAGACAGTTTTTCCAGGGACTACAAGCCAACCCATTTAAACATTTATGTAATAGGCTAGAAATTTCCATTTTTGGCAGCCACAAAAACTACACAGCTATATAGGCCACAATGGATCGTTACAATTCAGCTGGACACCTTCTAAGTTGGGAAATGGAGTGGTTTTCCATTCGAATCCAGCAGCTGCACCTGCACACAAATACACACACGCATATTAAAAATTTAAAGCAGTTACAGCAATTTCCCAGCAGCAAAAACCGCAATGAGTCTTAAGCAGGTAATCCTGGTTAATATTCAGTTAGAGATGAGCAGGCGAATTGGTGTATCCAGGTGGACAAAGGAATATCCCGGTGAGCTCTTTGAAAGACAAAGGATTTGGGGACAAGAGCCGGCAAAGTGGGTCAACGAGGTCAAAAGAAAATGACAAGAATGGGTAATAAGAGTAAAGAGCTGCCATTAGGAATTCAGGTACAAATTAATTTAAGCAATTATTTGGAGTTTGTTGGTTTAGTTTTTGGGATAAATATTAAGGAAAATTACAACAAAGAATAGGGATTTTAAAATATTTTGTTTGCAATTAAGAAATACTTATTTTTATAATATATATAAACAAAAATATTTCATTTGTGCTTCTTCTACTGCAATTTCCTTCACCCTTTCCTTACACGAATACACAAATCTTTTTACAAAAATACGGAAGGAAATATAAAAGATTAAAAGAAAAAAATCAACAAATTCATAGCTTTGCAAATTCAGAAAAAATGCTTTTCCTTTCCTTACATTGTTATAAAAAATCGTTAAAAAAAACTTTCAAAATAAATTATCAAATTGATTTCGTTACAACTTTTACTATCATCCTGCAGCGCAAGCCTTGAATATATTTTGAATGGATTATACCACCTTGCATCTCTGGCGTTGATGTGGCATTTCATTTCATTTCACTTCAGTATGCCACTGGCACACACTTTGGGGCTGGCATTAATTTGAAATGCGACCTGGTGGCAAGCTGGAGAGTCCTTGCTGTTAACCAGGACAAAAGTGCAAGATCTGACCAAGCTTGAGAGCCGGCCAGCTGGCACGTAAGCTCGTTACGAATTTTAAATGGAAATACTTTGCACCAACTAGAGACTAGAGAGTGTACTTGCGTTTGTCTTTTTTGTTTTTTCAAAACCCAAAATTAGGTTTTGCATTCCGAGATGTTCTCCATTTTCCAATGTTAACCCCAAAAATGGCGCAACTTTCATTATTAAAGTGAATTTCGGAGAGTTTGGGGCAAGGCCAAAAGCCGCAAAAAGTAGAAACCGGGATGCTCTGGGGCATTGGAGCAGGAATTCTCGACAGCTCGAGCTGCTTGCAACTCCCACATCTATTTTTTGCGTTTTGCTTTTGTTCATTTTTAATATGACTTCTTTTGCCTTTTGGCCATTTTATCGCTATTTCTCTCTCTCCCTCTCTCTCTCTCTCCTCTCTCTTACACTTTTTCAGTGTGTGTCTGTGTTGGCCAAGTCGTGTTCGGCTTTAGTATGGCTGTGTGAGTGTGCGTACTTCAGCCAGAAAGTTGCGGTTTGCTTGCACTTAAATTATTGCATCGGAGAAAAGTCCTTGAGCCGCAAAGGCATTTGGCCCTTTTTGAGGGGCATGGCCAGATGGCAATTAAATAATTTGCGGTCTATGTGCTGTCGAGGCGTAAACTTTTCAAAAAGCTTCAAGAAATAAATTAGCCAAGGGGCCAGCCAACTCACAAACACTAACTGCAAGTGCTGCCTGCCCAGGCGATTGAAAAACGCCAATTAGCCTGGCCCAAAAGAGGTCAGCCTTATCTGCAGATAGCATATCTCCCTAACAAAAAAAAAAACAAAAAGCCTACTCGACTGGCTTACACAAAATGGCAGGCTATAAATCAATGCTCTCTATTCTAGCCCAAACACCCCACCACTCTCCACACCCTCCTCTACAAATGGAGCAACTATTTCATCCCCGGCCCAACAACTTGGCCAAAAGGGTTTCGATCGCTTTGGCTTACATGTTTATGCTGCATCAGCAGCAACTTTGGCCAAAAGCAAACAGTTTTAGTTGCGGATGTGCGGCATATGAGGAAGTTCGGCGTCTTCGATTAGTTTTCGTTAGGATTAAATTCAGAAAATCAGATGCTATTAAGTTGTTGGATTACTTTTAGTGTTAAGAGGAAGGTAAAAAAATACAAATATTGCAATAGCTGAAAATATGCTAATAGTTAACATTATAGTTTAGAGGAGTGTCAGTGACCTAATATCTGTTTTAACAAGGTAATTAAATAATAATTATTTAAGATCAACTACGTTTCATTCTTTAAATTACCAAATTTTATAAAATTATTTTCCCAAATGTAATAAAACAGTTTATGTGATGTTATTATATACTTTTTTTAAACTAGCAACTACATTTTTAAAAACCGTGCTTGAGTTTTATCTTTTAAATAATTTAAATTTCCGTTTTCCTTGTCACAGGGTGGTTCCGGTAATCTACTTAAAACATGATTTTACATTTTCAACACTATTCTTCATATACATAAAATACGTTATACGGATGTATAACAAGCAAGTTGTGTATAACAGCACTAGGTGGCGCCGTAAGAAAAATCTGTACGTGTGATATGCAATACAATTGGAAGGTGCTGTATGGAGGCCAAATTCGGAACTAGCGCTTACATAGTAAATGTAATTACATAATTAATGTAAAATGTAAAATGAAAGCTAAAAAGAAAATGATTAAAAAATAAAGATTATATATAATAAAAGACATTTGCTAAATTGGTAATTTCTTAAAGTAAAATTGCAGTTGAAAAGCAAAAAAATTTAAGATTAAATATTACTAAATTTTAAATATATATAGTAAGCAACGAATTAAGCTTAATTTTTAAGCCTTTGAAAATCTTAGTTATGAGTTGACCTTTCAGGATCAAGGCTTTATTGTAACATTGCTAAAAAAATAACTTAATAAACTAATTGATAAGAAAAAGAAAATGAAATCAATAATTTTTGTAAATAACATTTTATTTGTAAACTAAAATAACTAAATTAAATACAAAACTCTAAGCTTTAGCATCCTGGCTTTTAAATACGGCAAACTCAAACAATTAAACTCATTAGATTTATTGTTCACCCACATAATAATTTGTTTATTCAAATTAGAAAAATTTGCGATAATAGTTAATATTACATTTACAATTATTTACTTGACTTATGAAGATCATATATACCAGAATATCTGCATAGTGGAGCGGAGACCCTGCACTATTTACACATTACAGCATAATTATATACATATCCGATAGATATATTCGTGGATCGTGTGTATTTATGATTATGGGTTTTTGGGCCAAATGTATGCACATTTATGATATAGTTATTAAGTATAAGTATGTGCAATTAATTTAAGTTAGTTTGTATGAACATTTTACAGTTAGGCCTTACAGACTATTTATTATAGAATTTGTATTTGCTTTTGCAATTTGTTAACAAGGATTTTTCTGTATTTGATTTTTAATTTTTACGCGTTTTATCTTTACACTGAACATAATTTTGGGGGGATGTTAAGATATTTAATAAATAAAACAGAATAGAGGGGGGCGTTAGAAATTCAGATACTTTTTGGCTCTGCCACATATTACAATTTTGAACTGAGAAATCAGAGGTGTAGGTATAATAACATTGCAACAACTTCAATCCGGCGGATGGGCGGGCAGTCGACGTTTTAGAAACAACAACAACAACAACAACAACATCGAGTTGCTGTTAATGCACAAAATCGTTGGGTATATAATGCTGCGGCTCCACAATAACGCTGGCGTAATGGGGCGTGGCCACGACAGCTGCCGCTGCAGCAGCTGCATTTACGCTCTTAAAACTCTCAGCAAAATCGCTAACCACTCTGTGATGTTGCTGCTGTTGGTGTGGCTGCTGCTGCTGCTGCTGTTGTTGATGTGGCATGGCATAGTGATATTGCTGGTGTTGCTGTTGCTGTTGCGTTTGCAATCTCTGCTGCTGCTGCTGCTGTTGCAGATGTTGCTGCTCCATTAGATGTTGCTGCTGCTGCTGTTGCTGCTGCTGCTGTTGCTGCTGCGAACTGTTGTCGGAAAAGTAGCTCAGCTCGAAATTGTGACTTAGATCGCTGTAGGTCGTTTGTGAGGGTGAAGTTCCATTAACTATCGAGGCATTTCCGGTGGACAACTGCCTTTCACTTTCCGAACTGCTAGAGCAACTATTCGAATTGGCCGAGAATGGACGTATCATCGAGGTTGCCACATCCACTGTGGCATCATAGTCATAGTAATAATGATTGTTATTGTTGTAGTAAAGATTGCCAGTGGTCGTATCCGGATATTGCATTTCCGTGGAGTAAACACCGGAGGATGAGGCGGAGGCACTGGAGCCACCACCGGCACTTGAGGCTGTGCCACCGCCTACACTGCTACTTGAGCTCACGACAAGGTCATTCAAGGGCGGATAAAGCTGTGTGTAACTCAGGCTATCGTGATCCATGCTGCCGGATTGTTGTTGCTGCAACTGATGATGATGCCAAACGCCATTATTGTTATTATTATTGTTATTACTGCTACTGTTATTCGTTGGGGGCACGGGCGTGACGGCATTGGGCGGTTGCAAGGGCATCTCCGGCTCGAAATAGGGATCCAACTTGGGACTGGCACTTAGGGCCAGACTAACTGGCGTCCCTGGACCCACCGGGTGGCCTGTTGCTCCGGCACATTGAGGCACCGACTGCTGCGGCACTACCACCACCTGAGCTTGGACCGCTTGTGCCGCCGCCGCAGCTGCTTGAGCTGCCGCCGCCGCTTGGGCTGCTTGAGCCGCTGGCGATATGGGCTCCCGTTTCACAACGCCCGTCTGAATCTCGTTCAGCACCAAGTCTTTCACCTCTCGTTCGCTCAGCACATAGTTCACGCTCACGATGAACACTTCTCGCGAGGATCGCGAATTGTGCACCAAGGTGGCATACGACTGCACCCACACCCAGCCGCCGCCTTTGGTCAGGAAGCGGTAGTATTTCGTGGTCACTTGTCCTTTGTACAGCACTGTAAGGAAAATAAGGTTTAAATAAGTAAATAATATTCATTATAAGCAGAAATCTTTGCATCTAAGCCATTAAGCACTATAAAATAAACTTAAACTTATAATATTTATTGATTATAAGTTATAGTTAAGATAGATTTTAGTTAAATACTTCGGGGTTTTAATATGCCAATCAATCGATTTAAGCATCTTTTCTCACAAAACAAAATGTATACAATTTTAAATATTTTAAATCCTTTGGCTTGGAAGGAGTTTTGAGTTTGCACACCATTTTAGGGACAAATCAATATTTGATTACAAAAGTTCTTCTATATTCTAAGGAATATTTCCCTTAAAACTTGTCATTAAATTTATTATTTTTATATTTGTTTTTCTTTAAATTATACAACCAAAACACTTTTAGTTTTGCTAAGTGCATGGCTTAGTGCACAATGGCAGTGCAGCGAATAAGAAGGTGTTATCTTACGGATTTGATGGGAGCAGCGCATGGCCATTACGTCCGCGGCGTGGATGTACTGATACAGGGTCTTCTCGATGAGGTCCTGCGGCTCGTATCCGGTTAGCTGCGATACGCTGTAAGCAAATAAACAGGCGACACAAGTTAGTTGGATAAACTTTCGAGGTCGGAGGGCAATAGCAGTTTCACAGCTCTTGTCCAAACAATGAATGGTCATTGGTGTTGCTGCTGGTTGATGTTTATTATTCGGCTGGTTTACTTTTCTCGACTCCAATTCAATTATGCAGGAAAAACAAAAAACCAACATCAAAAAAAAAAAAAAGAAAGCTGAGGAAAAGGGGCTGATTTGTGCTCACCACTTTGGGGTTGTTCAGTGTGCAAAAAAGAAGGAAGAAGGACGACAGAATAGGATGGCAATATGCCGTGGCATCATGAGGGTAATTGAGTGACAATAATGTCAGACAAAGTGGGCTGGTTTTTTGGCCCGCCAGGCACTTACACAGAGTCCTTTTTCCTCCTCACACATACATATACAAACTGACAAAGGAAAATCAAGCTCAAGAGGGAAATGATTTGTTTTTCTTTTCATCATGTCGCCCCGTCTTGCTTACATTTCCTTTTTCCTATTCAACTTCTCTTTTTTTTTGTTTTCTGGCACTTTGAAAACATTATCTTTTTTTACGGGGGAGTGAAGTGGGGGGCCCCGGAACTTTTTATCGTGGTGTAAAAGGCGAATTCGGAGGCCCGTTTAAATATTTGCCTAGTGTCGAATATACGGCAAACAAGGCAAAGGATACCTTCAAGGATTTTTTGTAAAGCAGTGAGAAAAATTTTGTAGAAAGTTTAAAACTTTAAAAATCCACTTACCGTGCATCGAAGAAGATGAGCTTCATGTCCAGCTTGGCCCGGAACATGAACATATTCTGGTGCAGCTTGATCTCTGTAATGGCAGATGAAGGCAGCGAGTGACCAACGGCCACCAGGCCGAGGTTCTGGATGAGGCTGCCCTGTCCATCTCCACGATCGGGATAGATGCGAGCCTTGAGATAGCCGGAGCAGTGTATTACCTAAAATATATTATATAAATTAATATTATAATATTCATTGCTTTCAAAATGATCATGCAAAGCCCTTCTGTACAATCTGTTTCTATGAAATAACTGTCTAACTTAACTCACCTTAAAACCAGAGGTCGTTAAGCCGGCATTCCTTTTGGCTAGGACACACTTCATGCGCAGGAAGAAGGTCTTCTCGATCTCGATGGTGTGCGATCCGCGATCGTGGTCGTAGGCAGATGGATGCTGGACGCCATTTGGACTGCCAATAGGCGTGTGCGTCTGGGCGAGCTGTAGGGAGTTGAGAAAGGCGGCCTGTGGCGTGAGTATAAATGGGATGGAAAGAGCAGTCCACAGAGAGAGAGAGAGAGAGCGAAAGAGAGCAAGAGATATAGGACAAACATTTTGAAATGTTTCGAAAGACTCTTTAGAAATTTGAGGCTGTACTCACTGGATGCTGGTTTATGTGCGGATGCAGCGACAAAATGGCATTCATCTCGTCCTGATCGTAGTTGTGTATGTACTCAAATATCGAATTACCAGTCAGCTCGACCTGTAAGAAAATATATCATTAAATAAGGATATATTTTAAAGAATTCAGAAGATGTTTAACAGGAGCAAATGTTTGATTTTCTTTTGATTTACTAATAAAAAGATATTTCTTCAATTTAAAACTTTTAATTTTGCTAAAGCAATGTGAAACTGATTTCTTTCCCAACCCTCCGTGAGTGCCAATTAGTAGGCAAATGCAAATGAATCGTCTTTTCTGAGTCCACAACACTTGGGTCCCTGAAGCCCGGCCCATTGACTTGCAAATGCAAGTGGTGGCCAGGATACAAAAAGGCAAATTCAGGTGGGCCCGGCAATTTATGCGCATAAATCAGGACAAGAGATCCAACAACATCCGACGACACTCACCTGACTGAGGCCCAAATGCACGGAGGCCGTTTCCGAGATGTACATGATTTTGCCATCCGGAGCCACCACGAAGATGAATCCGTCCAGCGTTTGCAGCAGATGAGAGCCCAGCTCCTTGATGGTGGCACCACGTTGCATGGCTGGCGAGGAGCCCCAGGCTTCACCAAGTCCTAGAAAAATAGGATTTAGATTTAATGAAAATTACTTACTATTAAAAAATGTTATTTCTTTTTTTTGTATATTTAAAAAAATAAAAAATCTCAAACTGAATAGCCATTTAACACATTTCTAATGATTCCAATTCCCTTTCCTATAGCCCAGTTACCCTTAATGTCCTTAAATAATTGTTTGTCATCCGCTGGAAGTATCTTAATTCACAAAGTTCCCACCAGCAGCAGCAGCAGTGGCAGCACACGCCCTACTTGGCCACTGCTGACGTCTAAATATTATTCCCAATTAAAGTCATCGAGCGCCGTAGGTGGCCCATTCACAGTCCACCATTCATGCCAACTCACTTCCCCACCCCAATTTCCACTGTTCGCACCATATATACCCGTGTATATATATCTACAATATATTGTCATGTATAATATATAATAGCACTTCCTTGGGCCGTCCGGATCTCGTTGTTTGTTGCCTATTATTAAAATAATTATTTCAATAAAGGCAGCAAAAGAAAAGCACAAAACGGTGCGGCAACAATGGGAGCGACACCCGCCCACCCAGCAACCTATCAACCCACCTCCCACCTACTCTTAAACAACCCTCTTTGTCAGCAGAAAATCTCAGTGGCGCACACTCCCATCGGGTCGGTGGAGGAGGTGGAGGTGGAAAAGCAGCGGGAAAACGGGAAATAGGGGGGGTCGAGATTTCCAGTCCGGTTCTCGTTGCTCGTTCCTCGTTGCTTTTTGAGTGAAACAACAGCCGCCATTGTGTTTTAGCCACCACCTCCTCGCCCCCTTCAAGCCAACCCACTTTATCCTGCTGTTTATTGTCTTCCCATTGTTGAGTGGTTTTTCCCTGGCTTTCTTCCAGCAAACATATGCTTTAAACAAACATCGCCGTTTAAACTTGAAAATTTGCAAAGTAAAAAAAAACAGCAGAGGAATATATAGAAGTTGAAATGAAAACAAAGGATCATGTCCTGCTGTGAGGATATGTCGAGGTTGGATTATAATGAGCGTGTCGGTCGCGTGGCTGTCAAACATTCCGCATCATTTGCCATAGCCACAAGGCGTATTTCACACGAGATGAAAAGCCAAGACCCGGCGACAAATTGAGCGGCAATCAAGTGAGTTTTCCTTTTCGAATAAAAATGGGGGGAAATTTGGAAGCGAAATTCCGAATTCCGAGAGAAGCGCCAGCATATGGAACTTACCATCGGGAAAGACTTGTCGCATTTTCAAATACGATGTGGTCAGCCGGATGACGGAGGCCTTGTCCAGTTGTGAAGTAATCGCCGCTGGTAGCGGCAGTAATTTGGCCAATTCACAGAATTCCGTATTTTCCTTTTCACGTCGGGTGCGTGCCGCATTTTTGCTTTTCTCCTTCATGGCACACGTTTTGGCTATATCTGGAAAAATCAGTAAAAAAAATATCAGTAAAAATGGGGAAAAATCAGTAAAGGAAGGACATTTTTTATTATTACGTTTCGGAAAACCACAACGAACCATGTAATCTGCTTTCATAGCAATCCTTGCGAATTTTTCGATGGTTTGTCATTTTAAAATGTGTTTTTTTTCTATAATTAGTTAAATATCCTTTAAAATTGTTAGAGCTCTCCTATCCTTAGCACTTGCTCATGTCTCTGCAATCACCTGTTTGCAACTGAGCTGCTTTCCTGCAGGACAAGCAGTTTTAACAGTTTCCCAACTGATCCCTAAACCCTGATCTTCTACCTGATCTCTCTGGGAGAACAACCTGCCATTGGCTGAACTAGAATCTTTACCTGTTTACCTGCTGGGCAATTGACTTTTTGCAATGTTACTAATTTGCCGAGATCCTTTCATCTTGAATGGCAAAACTGGAAATAGTTGGCATCTCTCTTTCTCACTCGTTTTTGACTCCTGCATTCTACAGGTTGACTTTTCCCAACCGCAGCAGTTTGACTTATATCTATATATGTATATATCGTGTGTCTGTATGAGCACATAATACTCAAATGATGTCCCACGCACACTAGCACACAAACACTGAGAGAGAGTTTAGGAGGTGGCACAAATTTATGTATGTGCAACATACATTCACAGGATTCAGGATGACCCACAGCCAGCATCTTGTCATTGATAGTTTTCGAACGTGATTTTGGCGCAGTTTTGGCCAAATCTAAGCCATTGGGACTCCTGCTGCTTTTTTTTCCATTGACTTGCATCTTTTTTCTGGCTATTTTAAAGAACTTGGCCATTTACGTAGTTGAGGCGGAGGGCAAAGAATTTGCACGTAGTGACAAGTTTATTGACATAGGTCACGTATTTTAAATGCATTTAAGGGTTAGCCGAAAGATATAAAAGCCCCCTATATGGAATGCACTGGAAAAAGTTAGACCTATAAAAATGTATGGTTTTCAAGGTCAGCTTGTAAGTTATATAAAACAGAGAAATGTTTATATAAAAATACAAAAAAATGTACAAAACAATCCAAGAAATGAATAATTTTCTCAAAGATACTCACACTTTTGAAACTATAACTGTAATAATATCTATAAATAAAATAATCTGCAAAAAAAATAAACTTAAAACATAACGAAATATTTTTCAAGTAACTTTAAAAACCCCAAAAATCAAATATATAGATTTGAATAGTACTGAAGGTAATTTATATTCATTTGCCATCAAGAAATGAAACATTTGTCAAGAGTCAGAGATTGAGGGAATTGCCGACATCCGTTACGCATTCGCAGGAGCAACAGATTTGCTCAACGATCATAATCCTAAAGAGCATTCCGCGCTAATCCGCAACGCAAATGTGCCAACATGCACATCTCTGAAGTGAGGTTGCTTCCCTTTTCACTCTAGAGGAGGAGGAAAAAAGAGAAAACCACCGGGAAAAACATAAGGAAAAACACAAAGGCGTTCCCATTTAGGCCGCGATTATTATAAATGCCTTGAACGGACAAACAAAATGAGGACAGGAGTCAACCAGAGGGTTGAGTATCATATGCTGCGAAATCCAGATAATAGGATAGTTTACGAGCAGTAAGTGGGTCAAAATTATTCAGGGTATAAGCCATTATTCCTAAGGAACATTACAGCAATTCTTATAGCTATAAATATCAGAATATCCCATGATATATCAGAATTGGTTCTCATAATGTCAATGGTACAATCAAGGAAGTAAGTACTTTAATTCTAGAAAGAGGAAGTCAAAGTATAAGTTTAAGTATAAAGTATAATGCCAAAAATATCATCATCTTGGAATGTGGAAAATCATTAACAAAGAATTAATTCTAATAATTTAAGTAATGGAATATGAAATGGAATATATAATGTATGGAAAGCATAAAGGGAGCGGCTGTGGGAATTTGATTTATTTTCCATAAAATCTATTTTTAATAATAAGTAAATCTTAAAAGTTCCCCTTGGCATAGCAAAAAGTAGAAAACACACTTCGCCAGCACTTTAACGAGCAACTCAATGATCTCTTCTTCCCGGAAAGTGTATAAAACTCCGACTCATGCCTCGAATGGCAACTCAACGAACCGGATCTCAAGCCGAATACCATCCTCAGCCGAACCAACTTGACCTTAATCTGGTTACAGGCAAACAACAACAGAAAACTAAAAACAAATGGGCAAAAGTTTAAAAATAAAGTCAACACAAATATTCACACTGAACTTGAACTAGAGAGTTGCACATCCATAAACACAGAGGAGAGACAGTGTGTGATGGGAAAAAGAAGATTTTTAAATAAGAACAGGTAGGATATGAAAGATTCCCACGCAGTGGAAGCTGGAGAGTCCATAAAGCAATTTAACAGGACACTGGACGCTGGTCCGATACTAATGTGGGTGTTGCGGGCGAGGCGCAACAGCGTGTCCCATATCCTCCTGGCATATCGGATCCTGCTGCTAGTTTCCCACTTCCCAGGACGATCCACAGGTATGGCTATATATGCTAAAAACCCGCTGCTCGTCGTTCGATTCTCACGCTAGCGCATAGCCATTCGGGAATTTCCAAATCGGCCAATTGATAACCAGTCGGGGAAATACAGCAAAGAAAAAAGCAGCACATGTCCTGGAAGTGTGAGAAACTTCCGAGGCAGTCAGGTAAACAAAGTACTCGGACTTGAAGGTACCTCACTGAGATTCCCACACACATTCCGGAGGTGTCCTATCAGGTGGGAAGCTGTGGCAAAGCGGAAAACTCGCCATACGCCGTAAATGTGCGTAACATATGCCGGGGCCAAAACGATAAGAGCTCGGCTCCTGTTAATGCCAAAATGTTCATGTTCACTTAGAGAAAAATTTATAATTTAATGGCTTTCATTAAGTTCAAACGCACGTTGACGAAACTTTATTTTGTAGGTTAAAAAGATTTCCATTTTATAAAGTTTTTACTATTAAAACTGATCCCATTAATGTTATATTAATATTAGTCTTAAAAGAAACAAGTATTTTTAAAATCCCAAAATAGAAATAAGTTTCTAAGTTTCTTATCTTACTTGTAACAAATTTTAAATCATTTTTTACAATTTTTCATGGGTGAATAAGATAGATACTACTTTCAAAATTCGATTACTTTTATAAAAAAAATATTGTCATTACTTATTATACCCAATTAAATACATTAAAAACAATTCAATAATAAAATGTTTAACAATTTTTCACTGTGCACTTTTTCTACCCAACCCCCAACCGCCACATTTTTGGTCCTTTGCTCTTTTTCCCGTGTGTTTTCCCAACGCACATGAAGTTTTTATCTTGAAACAACAGTCGGCGTCGCGTCGCTGAAGGGGCAACCTCCCTCGAAATGGGTCGCAAATTTTAATGCTCAGCTCGCGCTTAATTTTGGGATTAAAACCCGTAATGCAAACAACGGGCTAAGGACACCACCAGACCAACGGGATGCGGATGTGGATGTGGACTCGCATCCGGACTGGTTGCCTCCGTACATTAACCCAATTTCAATATGCTTTTTGATTTGTTTGCGCGGCACTTTAACATTATCAAACAAAAGTTTATGCAATCCAGAAGAAGGGTGTGTGTGTGTGTGTGTGTTTGGGGGTGTTTGAGGGTGTTGGGCGTATGTTTTTAATTGCCTGCAATAACAAGTAACGACGGTCATAACAACAACACCCAGCACCAGCTAAAATCTCAGAAACGAGGGAACAAAAGCGTTGGCTTTGTTTTTGGTTGCCCAAATCCGCTAATTGCGCACAGTTGTCGTTGCTTTTGCCCCCGTTAAGATTACAATTGGCCCTTTTATGGTGCCCTAAATTATGCAAGGAACTGCCTATTGATTAGCATAATGGTTTATGAGCAAAGAATTAAGCAGGGATTGAGTCAAAGGGATCCAAGGATTCGGAGAAATAAGACCCTTTCTCTAGTTGGTCCTAAGAAAAGACAAAATTTGTAATTTTAAAAGTTAAAAGTATATATCTTAATAAGCGATTTCACATTTATATTAATATATAAAGATATATATATATATAATATCAATTAAAATCCATTCTAATAGGCAATTAAGCCAGGAGGCGCCTTGAAGTATGCAATTATTTTATTCGTTAAGTAAAAAGTTGTCAATCGCAAGTAAACGGACGTTTACCAACCATAAAATTAGCAAAAAAAAGTAAATTAATTAAAAGCCATTGCTTCCACAAATACCTAATTCAATAAATCACTTTTTTTTGTAATAAAAACCAACTATTTACACGAAATTATTAATTCAAAAGTTCTGCCATTGTAAAAGTACACTTTTAACAGCCACCAATAAAAACCTCGTAAAGCCTTGCAAAAATCAACAGAATACATTTTTAATCCAATGGTCGTGCATCAGTTTTTGCCAAATGTGAAATACACAAACAACAAATAAGAATTTTTAGTATGGAGCTTTTGTAAATTTGAGCCGAATCCCACCGCAACCAATATAATTTATTTAATATTAATCCAAGCAAATTATTTTGCATGAACTTTACCGTAAATCAGAAATAAAACACAACCAATGCAAACATTTTGGGGGAGCTGCGAAGTGAAAGCAAATAAAACCGAATCGATCCGTCTGACCAAACCCATAATCGTAATAATAATCAACCAGCACATCATAATCATTGTTTTCATTACACTATATTTTCAAAAATAATTATGCATGTATTTTATTTGTATTTGTCCAACAAACATAAGCCCAGAGCTGCCATCCTCCAGTTGGGAATTATATATGTACACATATATTGGGTTGGGGGAAAAATAAAACTGGAAAGAAGAGCGGGGCGTTTGGGGGCGTACAAATAGCCAGAGCAAATACGCAAAGCGATGAGGCGTTCAAAATGCGAAAGTAAACTTTCAAATGAAATAAAAATATAAAAAAAAAAACCAAAAAGTATATGTACACACACACACACACACAAAACAACAATAAC